CATTTTGTCATCCGCCATTTTTAAAAAAATTACCGCTTATAATTGCCGTTTAAATATTCTTAAAGTGGACTCTTCAAGCTTCATTTTCCTTTTATAAACATATTTTTATCTTCATTATTTACGAAGTTATGATCATTTGAAATTTGGTTAATTTTTCCTAATTTTTCAGTGTACCGCTTTTTTTGCACCTGAGTGTATTTTATTGTATGGTTTAAAAATATATATAAATACCGTTTATAAACATCTAGATTAAGAATAAGTATAAGAATTATGTTTAAGAATATTACGTTTTATTTGCATTAAATAGTTTGATTTGATACAATAAAAGAATGTAAATCCTCAACATTCCAAAATAATTAATACACTTTACAGAATTCATAATGATAAAGATTTACAATATATTTTGTTTTCATACCAAGAAAGAATTTTATTATTATTATACAGATACATGAAAATAGTAGGAGTAAGTGTTAAGGAATAAGATGGTTTTATTAAAGAAAAAGAAAATACAAATATATAAATGAAAGAAAGTTACTTACCTTAACCTTTCTACGAACCTACGAAGGATTCCGGATTTTAGACAGCGACATACCTGAAACATAAAAAACAGATTATTACAATTAAATGAGTTATTAGAAGATATTAGAGTACTAAAATATGAATGAGAAAGCATTACAAGAATTAAGGTCGTTGTAGAAATGATGGAATACCTGAAAATAAAGAAACATATGTTATAACCGTTACTTATCTATATATGTATATACAGAACATACTCATATTTAGGATATTAATAGGATATTAATTTTCTTAGAATATTATACGGCCAATAAAGATGATTTCACATGAAAAGAATAAAGATACGAGTAATTTAAATAAAGGCCGAACTAAACGTTTTATTTATAATTTTGTTATATAGAACATACGACCGTTATAAGTTTTAAGTACGTTAATGTTCTTGGGACTTCATCCAGAATAATGCTATGTATAATTGTTTTACAAAGGTCGAATTAAAGATAAAGTTAGATTTTACAGTTTAATACATAACGGCCGAATTAGAAAATAATTTCAGTCTTAACCTATTTACGGGTATATATATATATATATAACGGCCATAGCCGATTTTTCAACCGCAGCTATAGATAGAAAGAGACAGAAACACGTAAATAGAAAGAGAGAGAGCATAACGGTAAAAATCATTCCGAGTAATTCCGTAACGGAATTTTAGACTTTATTTGACAATGGTAGATAGATTCATGATAATTAAGCATGATTAAATGCACATAAAGGCGAATAAAGTATTTTATTAAATAAATTAAAGGATGTTAAAGTAGAAAGTGACAGGTCGATTACCGACGAAGTTACCAAATTATTGTACTCGGAAGGCTTAATCGACTAATTTCTTTTATTTTATGTATTTTATTACAGCGTATCATTTATTGTAAGCTTAATTTTAAATACACATTGTTTATATTAATTAGAATAACGAGTGAATGAAAGCATGAGTAGGGATGAAGAAGAAGGGCATTCCGCATGTCCACCGTTGGTCATGTTGAAGACGGTCATGATAGAAAAAAGTCGGACGGCACCCATCGTACGGGACGGACGTGTCGAAAACCGCTGACTTTCAAGTACGCGAAATTTAATGTAGCGTCAATAATTAATAATCCTTACACATATGACGCATTTTAAATAGTAAGACGTCGAATTCCGCGTAGTGAAACGCGAAGATACCGCGAGGAAGTACCGTCATAACAAACGTGCAAGTTCACGTAAAGCTTTTTTCGGGAATACCGCGAAGTAGATATCCGCTAAGTCGTCAGACAAGGGTTAATAAATATCGGGAACGCGATTAAATAGCTACCGATCAACGCGACGTAATAATATCGCGTATTTAAGAAATTTTCGTTTAACGACACAAGATTGCGTAATACAACCGCGACATATAGGATTGTGAGTTTAACGGAGATTATTCACAAGATCGCAAAGCAAGTAATTGCTAGTAGTGCGCGAGAGTGGATGAATGAGAGTGTGAACATGAGTGAAAGTTAAGTTTGTACAATACTGTTGAATATATGATATTGTTACATAAAAAAAACATTGTGTTGTGAATACTCGCACCTCTCCCATCAACCGCCGAGCGTTAGCGACAGTCAACGAGGACAGCAACGCAGTTCATTGAAGGACAGCTGACCCGAGGAAACAAGGACGGCCGATTTACACATCCATTGAAGGAAGGAAGGAAGCAACACGCTTTTGGATTTCGGACCGACTGGCAGCTGATCCCACCTTCTCTGTTGAAGAGATTAAACAGAGTGGCGACCAGTTAATTTGTAAGTGGATTTATTTATCGTAATGCACGATAACGACCGTGAATAACAGATGTTCCAGTCACACTTGGCACCGCTTTCCTCACCAGTGCCCTATAACCCCATCCCTCCCTTGAGACCGACTATCTTTTTAAGACGGCGAGTAGAAAATAACAGATTAAACGACGAAAATCCTTTTAAGCAGAACAGCAATACGGAGTACGAAAGGCCTAAAAGACAGTAATAAGGAGAACGTGCCGATACAAGGAGAAACAACAGATTCGGAAAAGGACAACAATAGGGAGCAGCAAGGAAACATCACCATGAGACAGGAAGACAAGCCCTCCCTTAATAATACATGACATTTAAAAAAGACTGACAAAATAACATTAAAGATGACAACAAGGAAAGAACAAGGGGAATAGGAGTCAAGCGCGGGAGACGTTGCGCAAATAACACGACTATCGTAGCGTAAAACTTCTTTATTTTACTAAAGCGCTTACATATTTCGGCTCATTTTTGAGCCTTCTTCAGAGACAACTAATAAACTCACATATATAGAATATAACAATTATTAACTAGTCATAGTGATCTTCCCCACCTCGAGAGTATAAATGCCAGAATTAAATCCAGATAAGAATGCAATGAAGAAACAAGGAAAGCAATTTTGAAAATCTCGAAATAAAGAAATTGTAAAACTAATGTATCAAAAAATTTTGAAATATATTATAATTAATTATTCCGAAAGTTAGGAAGCTCACCCTGATCACAAGATACCGCATCGCAAACATTACTCTTAATAATTCAAAAACCGGTTTCTGATAAGTTGGCCAGTCAGTGTCAGACACAGTTAGTCCCTTTTTGATTTAGTTGGTCTTTATTGAGACAGTAATTAGAAAACTAGCGTTAAAAAATTAATCAAAATCAAGAAAAGAAATTTTGAAAATGATCTAAAGTCAACGCCCGACAGACTTCTTCCTGTGTACGAGCGACACTGACTGACTAAGCGCGACAACAATTCGACCTTTTATAGCCTATCAATGATCGGGAGGTAGGCCTTGGGAAGCCCCTCCACATCCGTTTGCATGTTAAGTCCATGCGTCTGTCTCTTTATATTTGAGAACATTAGCAACCGGTTGAAGAACGTTATCATGACTAGTAATAGGAAAGATGCGGTTAGGGAGAATAGCGTGGATGTAGTGCAGCCTTCGTGGTTTACGGTTCCTTTCATTCGTGGCATTACTGAGAAGTTTAATAGATTAAAGAGCAATCATATGAGGGTGTCGTTTTATAGCATTAACAAATTGCGAGAATTCATTAGGGTACAAAAGGATCTTTTACCGCGTAGTAATAGGTCAAATGTAGTTTACAAGATTATTACTACGTTTTATATTTTATTTTATGGTTTAAACACATATATATAAAGAGACTGTTTTTAAATAATAATATTAAGGGTAATTAGAAGTACTATAGTTATAAGAATATTACGTTTATTTGCATAACGTAAATTTTATTTGATAAAAGAAAAAGGGACACTCAACATTTCGAAGTTATACAAAAATTTATATTATTATACTTTACAGATTTTAAAAGAATAAAGTTAAATTATAATTTTCATACTATATAAAGATTTCATTGATACATAAATATATTTTTTAGTAAGTATAAGTGTCAAGACGTTTTATTAAAAAGAAAGAAAAATGTGAATGAAAAAAAATTACTTACCTTAACCACACACACACATCCTACGAACCCTTGAAGGATTCCGGAGATTACATAGCGACATACCTGAAACATAAAAAATGGATTATTAGGATAAAATGATTTATTAAAGAGATTAGAGCATTAAAACATGAATGAAATAGGATAACAAGAATAACTGCCGTTGTAGAATCAAAGGAATACCTGAAAATAAAAATAACCGTTAGAACATATGATTACCAATATATGTAGAACATATTCACTTTTAAATATTAACTTCTTGTAATTATCATACGGCCGATAAACATAGGGTGCGTTCCGTTGCACGCATTGAGTGCATATATCACATTCAATATGCTGCGCACATTAATATCGTTCCGTTTTGTCAATGCACATGATGCGCGCTTGGAAACGGAACAGCTTTCTATGCTGTTGTGGAATGGTTAGTAATTCGGCTACTTCTTGACTTACTGGCTGTTTGACTTTATTGCGTAAAAACGGTACACGCTCGACTTGACCTTCCGCCATATTATCTTATCAACTAACTTCTTCCTGCGCCACCGCGATGCGCGTGATATGCTCAGGCGCGTATCTGCTATCTCGAGAATCCTCGACATACCGCCCTCCTTGAAAGAATGTCTTTCAATCTAATTACATAAGAAAGTGCTACTCTCTAGCCTAACTCCGTTGAATAGAAATATTCGTATTAAACTGAACTTTAGTCAAATAAAATAATGATACTTATCAACTTCACTTAATTCACCATAGCCGGAGTATTATCCACAAAAAAACAAAAAAAAACTGGGGACTAGAGGCAAGATAAAAAAAATTAAATTAATTCTCTATAATAATCGCCTAATGAGACAGTAATTTGCATCATCTAGCTGATCCCTTTTAAACATAGTTAATCGATAACGGACAAAGTTTTTGAATAGCTCTTCGGAACCTTCCACCTTCGGTCTGAACTGTAGCGACCCGAACGATTCCATTATCGCCCGCGAATATCTCCACGAACGTCTCCACCACTCGGCCCAGTTTCCATCTCAGCGGAGGCAAATTATCGTCCTTCAGAAGGACCATTGTCCCTGGCTCCACTTTCTCTTGTCCTGTTAATCATTTGCTTCTTATCTGCAACGTTTGTAGATACTCTCGTTGCCACCGCCTCCAGAAGTGCTGTCGAACCTTTTGGAGATGCTGCCAACGGGATAAATTGTTATCTGAAACATCTACGAAATTGTTCTGCACAGGTTCTAGTAGGGAGTCCCCGATAAGGAAATGAGCAGGGGTTAATGCTACCAAATCGTTGGGATCCGCGGATAAGGGAGTTAGGGGTCTCGAATTTAGGACTGCTTCTATCTCTATCAGCAATGTGTTGTACTCCTCATACGTTTGGATAAGCCCTCGCGTTACCGTGTTTAGATGCCTTTTCATTGCATTCACGGCGGCCTCCCATAGCCCTCCAAAATGTGGCGAGCTGGGAAGTATAAACTTCCATTCGATTTTTTGATTTGCTAATTTCTCACCGATTTCCTTTTCATTGTTTGCTAGGAACTCGTAAATTTCTCGCAATTCTCGCGCTGCACTCACGAAATTAGTCGCGTTATCGGAGTACAGTTGCGAACACATACCCCTTCTTGCTACGAACCTTCTCAAGGCCGCCATGAAGGCCTCCGTGGTTAATGCCGTTACCAGTTCTAAATGTATCGCCCTTGTGCTAAAACAAACGAATACAGCTACATACACCTTGACAATTGGGATTCTACCTCACCTTCTACTCTCTCTCATTTGTAGTGGACCAGCATAATCTACTCCAGAAATAAAGAATGGTCTCCAAGTTTCCGTGACTCTGCTCTAAGGAAGATCCGTCATTTTCAATTAAGGCGTACGAGGTTTGTATCTGAAGCATCTAACGCAACCTCGAGTTACTCTTTTTGCTTCTCTTCTTCCATTTAAGGGCCAATATTTTTGCCGAACAAAATTCAATAGCTGCTCTGGGCCACAGTGCAATCGTTGTGCGTGCTCCTGGTTAAATATCAATGTGACTACATGATGACCCACTGGTAAAATGATCTGATGCTTCTGATCTGGAGTTAGATCTGCATGTCGAAGACGTCCTCCCACTCGGACCATTCCTTTTTCGTCCAAAAATGGGTCCATCTTAGCCAGTTTACTTGCCTTGCTTACTGGCCGCTGCTCTCTTACTTGGTAGTGCCTTGATTTCTTCCGCGAAGGCATCTCGCTGAATGATTTGCAAGATAGCGGTTTCTGCTTCCTCTAGCTCCTCCAATGACAGTGGACCATCTTTCTTAGCCCCTCGCAGGTTGATTATAAACCTTTGACAAAAGGCGATTACACGTCGTAACTTGGAATAAGAAGACTGTTTGGTTAAGACTTCCGGGGGGGCAATCGATGCCGACATTGCTACTGTAACTCTTTCCGATGCCTCCTCCATAGCTACATTTGGTTGCTGAGGCCAATGCTGTTCTGACGTGATCCATTCGGGACCTTCCCACCATAGTTTGCTCTTCCTTAGCTGCTCTACCGTGATACCCCTCGACAGGAGATCTGCTGGATTATCCTCCGATGGGACATGCTTCCAATAAGCTTCGGATGACAATTCTTGGATTCTTGCCACTCGGTTGGCTACAAACGCCTTTAATTGATTAGATGACATTTTGATCCACTCTAACACTACTGTTGAGTCACTCCAAAGATAGACTCGAGCGATGCTTTTTTTACAGGCTTCCTCGATTACCTTCAACAACTCTACCAATAATAGGGCAGCACACAGCTCCAATCTTGGCAGTGATAAGACCTTCAGTGGGGCTACTCTTGTTTTCGCACAAATCAAACGAGTAGTCTTTTTTCCTTGCTTATTGCAACTGATAGCATATAAGCACACACACGCCTTTTCTGATGCATCCCCGAATCCATAGATATCCATTAATCCTGTTTCGTTGTCCGGATTTATATTTCGTTGAACGGCAACTTCGTTGATTTCATGAAGTGAATCAAACTGCCTCTTCCAACTAATTTCCAACGATGATGGCAAAGGGTCGTCCCAATCCAATTTTTGTTCCCATAATCTCTGCATAAATATCTTGTAATTTATGAGAACTGGTCCTATTAGCCCTAAAGGATCATACACTTGTGCTATTTTAGATAGTACGCCACGTTTAGTTATTCTTTCTTTGTCTAATACTGTAAACTGATAGTGTAGTGTATCTTCCTTAGCATTCCACAATACGCCTAGCGTTTTTTGAGTCTCTTCTTCATTGATGATAAGGCAATTATCAGTCTTACATTCGTCATTTAAATGTTTAAGCACTTTGGCATCGTTTGATCTCCATTTTCGCAATGCGAACTGCCCTTGCACCAGAAGTTCCGTTAGCTGTTTCTGCAGTTGAATTGCTTCCGCGAGACTATTTGTCCCTGTCAATACGTCGTCCATGTAGAAGTCTCGTTCCAGGACCTCTATTGCTGAAGAGAGATCCTTCTCTCCTCCCTCCGCATTTAAGTCTTCAACCTGCGTAATTGATGTTTTTTCTTGTTGTTTAGTAGCTAATTTTTCGGCGGCTTTGCTAGCTATCTCCTTTAGGCAACGCATGGCCAGATATGGAGCGCTAGCGGTTCCATACGTAACTGTGTTCATTCTGAGTATCTGCAGTGAGGATTCAGGATCTCTCCAAAGTACCAATTGAAACTTACGATCTTCTTCAGCCACCTATATCTGTCGGAACATTTTTGCGATGTCCGCTGTTATTACGTATTTGTGTACGCGGAATCTTATGATGATTCCTAGCAAATCCTTCTGCAAGTTTGGTCCTGCCATCAGCTTATCATTTAACGACGTTCCCGTTGAGGTTTTCGCTGACGCGTCAAACACTACGCGGAGTTTCGTTGTTAAACTATCTGGTCGCCATACTGATGCGGTATGAAACAATGTTCCTTGGATTCATAGCCTTCCCCTTCCGAACATATTGATGCGTGGCCCGAAGATACATATTCTTCCATGAACTCGTTGTATAGTTGTCGCAATTCTGGTTGTCATTTTAGACGTGGTTCTAGCGAATGTAATCTTTTCAGTGCCAATTCCCTTGACTGTCCGAGTACTATTTCAGGTTTCATTGGCAGCTTAACGATAAACCTTCAGTCCGCCTCACGCCTAACCGTATCGCGGTAGAAATCCTCACATATCTGCTCTTGTTTCAAGTAAATTCGCGTTTCCGATACATCTCTTTGTCTCCAGAATTTTTCCAATTGATCGTGTAACTGGGTGTTGGTTATCAGATGACAAGCTCTTCTTTCCGATTGCTCTGTCGGACTCACCATCTCGCCGCCTATAATCCAGCCGAGGTGAGTTCTGCATAATGTTGGTTGCCCCCTTTCTTGCTTGAATTGATCCATGCACAGAAGCGACCAAAACAGACCCGCTCCAATCAATAGTTCTATTTCACCTGGAATCCCGTATGTTGGATCTGCCAATTGTATGTCTTCAGATATATTCAGTTTCGCTTGGATTCTCACTTGTGGAAGCCTTTCGGTGATTCTTGGTAATATCAAGCAAGACATCATTACACTGAAGTCATTGTACATCGATTGCAACCTAATCTGCGTAGACAGATGCACTCTAGTTTTCACTTGATTTATGCTGCTTATAGGCACATTTTCTTTGGTCGTTGGTAGCTTCAATTGCTGTACCAGACCCGCCGTAATCAAATTCGATTGTGATCCGGGATCTAGAAGGACTCTACATCTTCTTTGCTGTCCGTTGATATCATAAACATAGACTTGAGCGGTTGAGAGCATCACTTGACTCGCATATCTTTTCGCGCAGTGGGTCGCTACCGCTGTTTTCTTGACCTCTTTCGAATCCTTTTGTTGGTTTCTCGTTGCTCCAGTCCGAGCCTACTCCTCGTCTGCCTGATGTCCAACGGTTTTTGTGTGTTCCAACTCTTCTGCGTTGACCGAAAGCTTCTCTGAATTTACGTGCAACAATGTGTTATGCGCTTTTGAACACTTCCTACATCGTGACGATCTGCACGCCTTGGCAAAATGATCCTTTCCGAGACAATTCCAGCACAGTCTACTTTTCTTGACCTCTTCTTGCCGCTTAACTTTTGACATCTTCAAAAATTCCTCACATCTGTATAAGGGATGCTCCTCCTTGCAGAGCGCGCAGCTTCCTACCTTGGTGGTGACAAGTGTTACCCTTTTCTTTGCGTCGCTACCTTGGTTGATTCTTGTTTTTGCTTTCCTTTATCCAGCATTTCCAAAGTACTGCAACGCTCACTTAAATATATAACGATGCACCCGCAAAGGCATCGTTCCCAACCGGAGTAGTATGTGGGCAGCCATGGAGCGTC